ACATTATTCTCAAATTAAAACTTCAAATACCCAGCCATGATCTTTCATTCTGCCTTGACCTCTTGAGAGGGAGATTTGATATATTTATTGTTGTGTTTCTTAATTTTTTCTTTTGCATTAGGTCTAATTCAAAAATTTTGTTAAGATGTAATTCTTTTCAGAAATACATGTTCAGTACCAATAAGTGCAAAGTAGAGTAAAAATTTGTTTTAAATATAGTAAATCAAAACACATAACAAATGGGCAGACCACTATTTTATCAAAACATCATTTCTTACACTACTTGACCATTTAAAAAATCCTTTTATCAAGAGAACAGCAAGACAAATCCCACACTAGAAGGAAATAGTTGCAAAAGACATAGTCAACAAAGGATTGTTATCCAAAAAAAAAGTAAGAACTCAATGAAAAGAAAATGAAATACCCAAATAAAAACTGAGAAAACGCCACTCCCTAAAGAAGATATTACACAAATGACCAAGAAGCATATGAAAATGTATTCAACATCATGTCATTGAAAAAATAAAATAACAATAAAATCTTAATACACCCTGATTAGAATGACCACAATCCACATGTTGCAAACATAAAATACTGTGAAAATGTGGTTCAATAGGAATTCTCATTCATTCCTTGTGAGAATTTAAGATTCTGTAACCACATTGGAAGATAGTTTGGCAATTTCTTACAAAGTAAACATACAAGTATGCTTATAATACAGTCCAGAAGCTATGCCCCTTGGCATTAACCCAAAGAAGTTGAATACCCGAATCCATACAAAAACCTGCCAGAGGATGTTTATAGTGGCTTTATTTATAACTGCCAAAACTTGGAAACAAACAAGATGCCTTTCAGTAGGTAAATGGCTAAATGAAATGGAGACATCCAGTCAGCCCTAAAAAATAAAGCACTAAAAAGCTATCAAACTATGAAAAGACATGGAGGAAACTTACATGTCTATCACTAAGCAAAAGCAGCCAATCTGAAAAGACTACATCCTGTATGATTCCAACTATTTTTGATTCTAGAAATTGCAAAACTATGGAGATAGTAAAAAGATCAGTGTTTGCCAGGGGCTGGAGAGAGGTGGGGGTGAGTGGGCAGAGGACCAAGGATTTTTAGGGCAGTGAAGCTATTGAGGCAGACAGACATCTTTAAACTATTTGTCCACACCTATAGAGTATATAACCCCAGGAAGGAACACAAATGTAAACTAGGGACTTTGCATGACAATGATATGTCTGTGTAGGTTCATCTGTTGTAACAAATCCACTCTCTGGAAGGTGCTGACAGTGAGGAAGATTCTTGGCTTGTAGGGGCAGGAACACATTGGAATTCTCTGTACTTTCAGTTGAATTTTGATGTGAATCAGCAACTACTCTATAAAATAAAATTTATTTAAAATAGCATAATTTTAACTGAATTTACAGAAAGCTTATAGCATACTGTTTTGGATCTTAGGTCTCAAGCTGACTGAGCTCAGATTCTGAATCCAGCACTATGTCCCCTTTAGAGAGGTAACTAGTGGGAGCTGTAGTGTCTTCAACTGAGTCCTAGGGTATTTACTGTCTTAAATATACTCATGTATGTAAAAATACTTAAAAACAGTTCCTGATACCTTATTATTTTTATAAAAAGTGTTATCTTGAAGCTAAACATTTTCCCTTAAGATCATCTCAAATTATTATTTTATTGACTTATTTACCTGTCCATCCACATTGTACTTTTTAATGATAATGTATCCTTTGCACCAAAATATCACACATCTGGTACAGTATCCTAACTTGGGTTTGATTTCTGAAACTTTGAAAACTGGACAGCAGCTAATCCTAATTCAAAAGGATTTAGAGGACTAAGTTCATACTGGGCCAGTGCTGTGGCACAGAGGGTTACACTGCCATCTGCAGAGCCAGCATCCCATATGGGTTCCGGTTTGAGTTCCAGCTGTTCCACTTCTGATCCAGCTCCCTGTTAATGTTCCTAGAAAAACAACGGAAGATGGCCCAAGTCCTGAGGTCCCTGTGTGGGGAGCAGGGCCCTGTGGGGAGCAGGGCCCGTCTCCCGCAACATGGCGAAATAAGTACTGAGACTACTGAGACGAGACTACTGAGACTATTGGGACTAACTCTATATGCATGAATCTCCCACCATATGACGCTGAGAGGGAGCAAACAAATCTTACACAGCTGCTTCGTCAATTAGCTGATTCCTGATCCAACCTCTGATTGGAGGAGAACTTCGTGCTCAGCATGTGGGCAGCAGAGCACGGATTGGTGGGAGAGGACAATAAAGGCGAGATAGAAGCGGTGCGGAGGGGGGGGGGATTCACTTATGCGCCGCGAGGCGAGGCGCTGCAGACATGGAGAGAATAACAAGAATGCGGACACACACCAAGTGGAACGCGGTTAGAATGCAGTTAGCACAGGAGCAAACTTGAGCGCACAACGCACAACGCTGTTTAAACAACAGCGTCCGGTCCGGTGTCATTCTCCCTCGAGCCCGCGGAGGAGAGACACCCTGCACCCATGTGGGAGACCCAGAAGAAGCTCTTGACTCCTTGCTTCAGCCTGGCCCAGCCCTGGCTGTTGCCACCATTTTGGGGAGTAAACCAGAGGCTAGAAGACCTCTCTCTGTGTCACTCTTCTCCCTCTCTGTAACTTTGACTTTCAAAGTGAGTAAAATAAATCTTCAAACAGACAAACAAAAAAAATCAGTTTAAAAAGAAGTACATTTATGTTACAAGTACGTGTTTATAACCTTTTTAAGTGCAAAGCACAATGAAGTCCTATTTTAAATGTATTCAATTCAATGTATTCAATGTATTCAATTCAAATCAATGTATTTTAAATGTATTCAATTGAAATGTGTAAAATTAATAGGATGACTCATGGTGCAGCAGTGGAAATCAATAGGTTGAATAGTTAGGCCACTCGATTACCACTTCTCAGGGAGCTTTAATAGCTAATGACTATAGAACTCATTGTCACAATAAATATGTTTTTTTAAAAATCTTGCAAATTAGTTCCCATAAGCTCAGGATAATCATCTTATCACAGTATTAAAGGAGGTTTTTTTTGTTTGTTTGTTTGTTTGTTTGTTTTTACAGGCAGAGTGGATAGTGAGAGAGAGAGGAAGGTCTTCCTTTTGCCGTTGGTTCACCCTCCAGTGGCCGCCATGGCTGGTGCGCTGCAGCCAGCGCACCGCACTGATCTGAAGGCAGGAGCCAGGTGCTTCTCCTGGTCTCCCATGGGGTGCAGAGCCCAAGCACTTGGGCCATCCTCCACTGTACTCCCGGGCCACAGCAGAGAGCTGGCCTGGAAGAGGGGCAACCGGGACAGAATCCGGCGCCCCGACCGGGACTAGAACCCTGTGTGCCGGCGCCGCTAGGTGGAGGATTAGCCTATTGAGCTGCAGCGCCAGCCACTAAAGGAGTTAAGAAGAGTATTTTCCAGTATATATATTGTGAACCTCCCATTGTTCAAGTATACTTATAGAATTGAAAAAAGATTCTTTCCCAAAGTATCAGATTTATGTTTGTTGTAACTGTAAGTTTACAAAAATATCAGTAGGGGAAAAATTATATCCACAAACAAAAAAATTTACTTTGTATAATATGAGATTGATGAGATAACTATCTATGTTTATATCTATATATCAATATC